CACATGAAACAGGCAAAATCACGCGAAAAGTCAACAACCGGGAAAATTTTTTCCCAACGCAGCAAATTTCTCTCAAACCCACAACCCACATACGACCCTCCTCTCCCAACAACAACCAAGTACGACTCCCCTTCCCAGCCGAAAAGTACGACTCCCCTATGTGTTTCACACAACGATGCTGTAGATGCTAACGGCAAGAGAATAATCAGTGAAGAAAAAGTAATGGAAACATAGAAGCGCTGAAAGTGTTTGAACTTTTCTAATGCAGCATTTTGAGCTCCAAATATTATCACAAGAATGGCGAGGTTTGGACAAAAGTTCTGACCCGAGGCTGGACTCGAATCCCCACCTCACGCTTTCAGGACGATTGCGCTGACCATTGTGCCACCAGAAATGCTCCTAACACCAGCTTCAACCCTGCAGTCCCAACTTTCGCTCGTGACTCAGCACTCTGTGATAACAGTAAATGCTAAAAGTGTCCCATAAGAGAGAAACATTAAGCGCAATAGAGACTGGGCGAAGATGATGAGCACAGAGACCAGCGAGACCGTGGAGCCTTAGAAAAGGCGCTGACAGCCCTACGTTGCAATTACGTACAGTCTTGTGGACGCTGCGGCGCATCGTTGGTATGGCTTTGGCACGGCACCCGCCCGTTCTCCACTAATTGTTGAAGCTGGCAAGCGACCGGAATCGGTGGAGAACTGACCGACGCAGCGCCGGTCAGTTCTCCACCGACTGCGGTCGCTTTCCCGCTCCCATACTGATGTTCCCCTGATACGCCGCAGCATCCGCAGCGAACAATGACTGCATCGTTGGTAAGAACTTCGAGGTGGGACCGTGGCCCACCTTTCACGGTTGAGGAGCCCGCTGTAGATCTCAGCTGAATCAACACATCTTGTGAACGCAAGTTGCCATCCAGCATTCAGGGAGTTCATTTGAGAGGCAAAAGAGCAGAATCAAGAACCCACACTATAATCTGCGGTCTTCAACGACGGGCCGACACTGACTCCATCGTTTGGCACGGGAAAAGCGGATGGCAAACGCCTAAGATTACCTGTAAAAAGAGAAAGTCTAGTTAAAGCAAAGGCCGTAAATTGCCACTCAGCCAGCGGTATATGTTCTTTCGAACAAAACCGTAACTAACCGGTGCACGGACACCAACACTGTCAAGTAGACACCGCAAGTCTGCGTGCTGAGGCCAATTGGATAAGAGCGTAAGCCTGAGATTGGAATTTCAAATAGTTTTCTATCAGTCCCCCTACAAGTAAACGTAACTGACCACAATACCAATGGAAAGGAGTCATGTAGAGTGACCGAGTTACTCATAGAGGCAATTACTGGGAAGATCAGCATAAAGAAATTGCAGAGTAACAGCAGTAGATCGGATATCGACAGAACCTGAAAAATTTCGGAAATATTGTTGAATCTATACACAGAATTCTCCAAGGGGGCCGTGGTGTGTGGGCGCCGCTTGTCTTCTGTCACCCATGTTCCACAATATCTGTTGTGGGCGTGGCGTGCCCCAAGAGGGTGAGTGAAAATCAAAAGTCAGGGATTCGGTTTCAGTGCAGTTCGAGGTCGGTAGAACGAGGACCAGCAAGGGTGCAGTGGATGAAACGAGGAATAGAGATCACTGTGGGTGGGGCGTGCGCCTAGGCAGGTGGGACCAATTTCAAGGTACTGCCATCAGTTCAAGGGCACTTCAGGGCATGGGAGAACTTTGTTAAGGTTGAACAGTGTTGACGAATTGGACGGGAGAGTTCGAATTCCATAGAGGTTTACAGATCAACAGAGAAGGTAAGTTTGAGATGTCTAACATCCAGAGATTCATGTAATATTGATAGGTATTGATCTTGAAAACCAGTAACATTGCCGTCTAATGCCGGCGCTTCTCCCTCTATGATGCCGTTCAGCTTGGCCGTCTTGAGCGGCTTCATCGCGCGCAACTTCTTTCAGTAGGGTTCTCAGCCTGTGCTAAACATATCTTTCAACTGTACGCTTGGTCGTGTTACTTACAAGCACTACTACTTTTCATCTGAAGGTGGCAAAGAGCGTTGACCAATTGCATAGTTGATCGAATGCGTGCCATCAACCGATCACTTGAACTCACGGAAAAAAATAGCACGCAACCAGGGCGCGCCCGTCGGACGAAGCCGGACCTTTTACGGAAAGACATGTGCCGGCATGAGTAGGCGATTTGATTGGTAATGAAAGAAGCCATTTTGTTGCCGCAGATGAGTCACAATAAACCAATTAGACTGGACTTTTTCTTAGTTGTCAGGCAATTATTGCCATCTGACGTCTATTGTGGAAGCCCATATTCAATCGGAAAATAAGCACGTGTTCTAGTTCGTGCCTGAGCCAAAACTACGCCTCGATAAGATAATGAATTAGATCTGGAGCTCTATTCTATCCTCACAGTAGGCTCCTTACAGGAATAGAGAACCATCTTTCCTCGAAACAGAAATCGATTTCTAGTCTTTTAGTAGTTCGAGCCATGAGCGTTTTCTCGGGTGGAACGCGTCTCGGTTTTTGAGTTCAAGAGGGTATACAGGGGTGGCCAAAAAAAAGTCACTTTGACCAAGTCACATATCAGCAAAGTTTTTGCAGCCCAGACAGAGGACGTGGATACGAGTACCAGGGCAGATACCCAAGATGTTCCTCTATAAACAGGAGCTGGCTCTCGCCCACCACCTTCATGTACACCAAAATATGAAGTCATCTCCAGTCGCAACCTGACTGGAGAAGACCTTCGGAATTCATGTCACCTCCAAACAGCTGCGAAACTTCTAGTATGGAGTCACCCATGGATAGCTACCTGGAGACCAGTACTCTCGATCTGGATGACCCAACATCGAGCAGCTCCGTCAACGTCGCTACGGTCTAGGACATCATCTTCACCGTAGTCGCCGAGGCGCGAGTTGATGGTATGGACCGGGGTACCTGGAATGGGAAGACCGATATTTTCTTTGTAGACCCCGACTGAAGGTGAGCGCTGGCGGTTACATCAAGTAACTCGAGAAAGAATATCCTCCCTACATGTGGTCGCCCGTACCTTCTTGGAGACCTTGTGCTGCTACAGGTTTGGGTGCCACCACATGGAATCGAAGGGTTTTGGAAAAACTCCCGCCTACTTCGAATGGAAGGGCGTTTCGTACCTGAAGAAGATGTAATATTGAAGTATGTCCCCTGACCTGAACCCACTCAATTACCTAGTTCGGGCGGAGTTCAATAGGGTGGTCTACGGTGGCGGAGAAATCGACTACCCCGCTGATCTCAGGTACCACATCGCGGTCGCGTGCCAGAATCTCTCGATGGCGTTCGTCCAGAAGGCTGTGGCGGAGTGTCGTGATAGTACTTAATATGCTCTTCAATATGGTAGTAAAAATGTCCGATCAGAATTTGATAAAGTGTAACTTATAGCGCCTCGAAAGTCAATGAGGCAAAGTGACTTTTTTTTGCCCCCCCCCCCTGTATACGGAATACAATAATGCAAAAATTAAAAAGAAATAAAAAAGTACAGTCGCATATATATTCAATTTCTATATCAAAGAGAAGGGAAGGCCAACGTATACATACATTATACATGCATTATTTGTATCGTGGCACTCATTTGTAATGATGCCTTGCCCAACACAAGTAAGGATGTCGGCTATCTTAAAAGGGAACATCCAGTGGAAACGTATTAAACATGTTTTATGTCCTACGCGATATTCAAATGAGGTACGCAGCCACGCCCTTTCCACCTTCTGGATATAAAGTGTGCCGTGGCGTCAGAGGCCCCACAGTACTATAGCATCCACCCCACGAGTCAGTGTATTGTCCTCAGACAGTTTGGCACGAGACCACCAAGTAGAAGTGGAGGATTCCATTGCACATTTAGAACCAACCATGCCATACCTCCCCAAAAGGAAGATTTCTTTCCGAACCCTGATCTACTGTCTGGTTGGGCCATTTGGTTTCCGGAGCCTTTTTTTTTGTCACGGTGAAGGAAAGGAACATCTCGCCCGGGGGAAAACAGGTCAGCTGCCTAGAAATCGAAGTGGAATGCATCCTATCAATCTCCTACTCTGCCCTCGTTTGACCAATTAATGGCAGGAAGTTTATTTCCCCGCAAATAGGCACCCCATTGTCAGCTAGCCAGGATTTCTTTTTGCAGCTCGATAATGTACAGGAAACGGCTTTTGGGTTCAGCTTGGACCCTTGATGCCTATGCGCACGTGTTTGTTAGTATGCTCATTCTTTGAACCTACGCAAAACAGGTTCAAGGAACGAGCATGGCAACGTCAAACGAGTCATGAGATCTCCGCCCATTTTGAAAAACTGTTAAGGGTGTTGAAGCTGCTACAAGGTTCTGAGAAGCTAGTAGATAGTAAGGCTGATCAATAATCAATATGATGAATATTAGCTGGTCAATATGAAAGCACGTGATCAGTGCTTGTAACAATTGTTTCCAAAAAGACTTTGGTGTCTAGTCGCACGACCCGCATCTAGGAACATTCTTGAAACTTGGTTCTAATTACGCACTAGCCACACAAACAGGCGCAGTTCGGCTTGGGAGGGTGTTCATTGCTTAACAAACTTGACAGGAATACTTTACAAGCTGACAGGTAGCCTCTACAAACTTGGAATAGTTTCTTCCTCACTATGGATTCACAAGTTCACAAGATTTTACAGATCTCTCATTGTTGGCACGAAACGACATAGGAAGTGGCGAATGCAAAGTGCCCCCCCCCCCTTAACCACTCATCCCCTCCCAAACCGAATTGCGCCCGCAATCGCAGGCCGTTGAGTTTATAGAGTAAAAACAAAAAAAACTAATTTCATCAGACTTACGAGCAAGAAGTGATTGACCAATGAGCATCGCATTTCCTGATCGAGAAATACGACGATGTTGATGCTGTTAGTGATGATACCGAATATAGCAATTGGCATTCCTCCAAATAGCCTGGCATCTGTCTGAATATCGTTGAAAATGTGCGGCTCACATGTCGGTATGTTCGACATCGTCGAGGACATTGTCACCATTGCCCTCCTGGGAGTCGCACAGGGATCTTTGGCTTTTGTTCCTCAAAAATCATTATTGAATATTGAGGTGTTAAATAAGAAGATATAGCGGGCGACATGAAACGAACAAGAAGTGGTGAAGAATGGCACGTAATGCGAAGAGAAGGGAACAAGGCTCTTAAAGAGGCGATTCGAGAAATCCAACCTCTAAGAAGCTTCTCTCTCCCGATACACGTATACAACGGAAAGAAAAACGAAAAGCTCAAGAATACCTTAAAATGGAAACGAAATGAATAGAAGGCAAGTGAAATTGAAAACTAAGGATGCCGTAAGATACAGAGTGAGGTTGTATTTCCAAGATTTCATCAGCATTTATCCCGGCAGAGCTATAGTCGTGGCCGCTGCAGACGCTGGGGTTTCAGGGGAACTGGGTTTCAGGCACACGTGGCTACGTTCCCCCGGAATCGCGGTATGTTCGGTTATAGAATAGGGATAGAACTTGGCCTGAGAAAAGTTTTTTTGATAATTGATTTTCCTATCTCTTACGTTGGGAGATTTCCAGTGGGCGAAGGGGGTTAACTGTACTCTCCAAAAGTGCCGCTTCCTCGGCAGGGGAAGCGCATTGTGAGGTATTTGAGGGATGATGCTGCGCTTACTCCCCCCCCCCTCCCTTCATCGAAGTTGTCGCTTGCACAATTGAACAACTGGAGGAGACCGGGAACACTAGAAACCAGCGCTCCAAGATACCCTAGCCCTAGCGCCTGCAGCGAAAACGACCGGACTGTAGACCCCATTCAGAATGTGACAGCAGGCTATCCCATGAATTTATGAGAAGGCTGTCATGAAGGGCTAATCATGTACTTTTTCGCTAATGTCATAGGAACAAGGCGGGGACCACGGAGTTGAGTGCGCTGTGGGCTTCAGTAAAGTGTTTCTTAATCCGCACTCGCAGCCCAAGGTTTGAAAGAATCTGAATATTGCAGAATTGGAGAATCGCGTATAATTATTACAGTCATGATCCCTGCAAGCGATAGGGCGTGCGACGGAATGTGGATTGGAGAGCTGCCAAGACGGCTCTTTTATCAATAACGCCATTCTGAGCTCGCAGCGATTGGCGGAAGGGCTGTTCTAGCAGCGATCCAGCTCACGCCCCCTCGCACGCCCTATCGCTTGCAGGTCACGGCTATACATGCAAACCGATTTCGTCGACTCCTCCCAAGCGCAGAGTCGCGAAGATCAACGCAGATCTGATCTTTTCCGTGATTCTGCCGTGCTGTAACGGTTAGGACGGCTTGAGGTTAGCTCCTCTGTCTCCCCCCCCCAATCCCACCCAGAGACTGTGGCAAGGAAGCACGTCGAAACTAGTTAATCTGCTTTTCTGCTCTCGGCGGATCCGGTAATTAGGAAGGATGTAAAGAAAGAAATGGGAAATGAGGAACAAAAGTAAGAGGAAGTGCGGAAACAAAGGACATAATGATGTCCCCCGCATCTCCCCTCGTGTGATAATATAATGGAGACGTCATTGTTTCCCTTCGTAATGTTTATGTGCTTACAAGAAATAAAGAAAATTGGTTCAGTTCGGCTTGGTGGGGGCTCCCCAGGCACCTAGCGAAGCATGTTCGGGAAGCATGTTGACAGGTCTTACCAAAACAAGAACTGCTATCTGACATGAACTAGCAGATGAAGCCAGCGGAAGTGCAGAATGCCCCTTCCAAGCTGCACAAAGCCGAAAAATTCCAGTTCTCCGAGGAATATGGTTCAGTTGATGCTAAAGTTCCAGGACTACATCATAGGTGAGATGCCTCCCCTGCACAGGTACGCAATCCCAGAGGTTATTCCATTTTCGGAACTTGACGGCGACTGAAGAGAGCAC